ATGTGATTTAATTGCATCATACATGGATGGAGTTCACGTTAAAATTGCTGAGGCCTATAAACCTCCAAGAAAAGTATGTTTACCAGCTGCATATAACAATAAGCTACCAGACGTATCAAAATTGACTTATGACTTCAGCTTGGAACGATCGGTACTTGAAAAAGTTGAGTACTATTTCACATGAATCTATAAGACATAAATCTATTTTAAAATTAGTCATATTTTATAATATGTGTAATTTATTCTTACATTATTTCTTAATACAAATAAGTATTAAGATACATCTGACCTAAATATAAAGTTGAAGATCATTCATTTATACAAATTAACTATAATGAGCAATAACTTGATTTATAGATGACAGAATGGCGTAATGTTAGGGAAGCAAATAGTAAAGCACAGTATGCACGATTAGATGAAAAAAGAAAGAAAGAGAAAAAGGAATTTTCACCTCCACCACCACCACCATTGCCTGATACTGTGAAGCCTATAAATGCACCTGTGCCTGAAACAACAATTCTTACTCCGCAGCCTTTATCTCCACCTGCCAATGATCTTCAAGATCATGTGAAAACAAATGGTCTTGATTTTGCTGATTTTGATAATGATACAAGCAGTCCATTTGATAATATGGAACTAAAAACAATCAATGACATGGAAGAACTTGCTCAGGTTAATAAATTACTTTGTATTTATGATAATTATATAATGAAAGGTAATTATAATATGTTTTTTATTTGTATTCTAGGTATTACAGCCTACATCTCAATGGGTGCCACCAGGAAAATTAGAAAGTATATTGAATGACTTAACTGTTAATGAGCAATCAGAAACTCATATGGAAGAAAAAAATGATAATATCAAGAGTGAAACAGTTGATCAGGAAGAAGTTAATAAACAAGAAAATGTTAAGCATCGTAGTGTATCTGCAATTGTACAAGAGCTTCAAAGAGATTTAGAAAGACCTGTCATGGAGGTAATAATATTTTTAATGAAAATAGAGTATTTATAAATGAGATTCGTTCTCAAGTTACTTGTTCATTATATATGTAATAGGATCGAAAATCTTGGCAAAATTCAGAAACTTCTGACTCTAACTCTCACGAAATATTAAAACAAGAAGAGCCAGTGGTAACAAATCAAGTTTCTCTTATGAATATATTACTGGATTTAACAGAGGAGGATAAAAAGTTAGCCCGACATTTAAGCGATATGGGATTTGCTGTGTCGAAAGCTGCTCGCGCTATTCGTGAATTAGGTGGTCAAGATAATAAAAAAATTGTAGAATATTTATTAGCTGTGCAATCTTTAGAGGAAATGGGAATTTCTGGAGAGGATGCCGAGAAAGCTCTTGCCCTTACAGAATTCAATCAAGAAAAAGCCAAAGCTTATTATAAAAATCTATGTACTTTACGAGATTTAGGTTTTCCTGAAGAAGAGGCATCTGCTGCTCTTCTGAAATGTAATATCGATCGCGACAGAGCTTTAGATTTTCTTATAACTTAAATGTAGAATTATGTAAAAAATAATTGTTAAAATGGTCTAAACAAATTTTTTACTGCACAAAAAGTATAAACTTATTTATAATATGTAAAATAATTAAAAGTTTAAAATCATAGAAAAACGTATTATTTTAAGAGTGGACATGCAATGAATAAAGTAACTAATTTCTTCATGGAAGTACAAGATACTAGCCATTGTAAGATAGAATGCCATGTAAATCTTTTGATATTAATGTATACAAAGTGCTGCTGAGAAACTGTTGTAAATGATACAAACTTTCTTAGTCCGATTTAAACACATTAATCTCTTTTATTTCTTTAATAAGATATATTTACAGAATTATTTTCTAAATAATATATCATTAATTTACACAATGCCAGTTATGTCTGACTGTCAGATTGGAATGTTTAGAAAATTCAGATGCACATCTGCAAAATTAAAATAAGTCTAATATTATATATGAACCTATAGACGATATTTGTCTTACCTTTTACAACAGCATAATGCAACTGTTGTCATAAACTCTGCATAATGACTCACACCAACAATAACCCATGCTTCTGTAAAGATTGGCTGTTGACATTGAAAATTTACACAGATGCTAGTTGGTCCATTCATTAGCAAGTCACACAGAGCATAGTTAATGGAAAATATTCTAAAATCAAGTTTCTGGCAATTTTTTATTGCAACTGGTTCATATTGAACGTTTATGTTCATAGGTGATGTAGAAATGTTAAGTGTGTGTTTATACCTAAAATTTAGTATTATACATTTAAATTGTAGAAATAATATGTATTAGGAAAAAAGTGGTAATTACCTTTCAGTATAAACTTTTCTCAAAGCTAACTCCCATAAAGAAATAACTATATTTTCGTGTATATTATGAACTTTCAAAAGTTGACGTGGTAATTCAATCATGAAGTCAGTATTCTCTTCATATGGTGCATTTATTACATTATTTAATTTTACATTGATAAAGAATTTTAATATCTTTAAAGATTTATCTATTATTTAATTATTTTACAATTATGTATATCATGCATTGGAGGATCAACTTACCCATAACCCATAGCATTTCTTTCATCATATATAAGTGAGTCTTGATTTTGAGAAATTAATTGATATAGAAGTGGATAAGACAAATAATTCAAATATACATTTGCATCAAATCTAATAGAAGGAGATGATACAAATCCATTCAATGGCAAATACCTTAAGCTATATAAAAATTATTCAGTATAAAATAAAAGAATTTAAGATGTTAACAAAAAACTATTGGTAATAAACTAACATGGTTTAATATGATGATTACTTAATATAACAACCTGTTAGAACACACAGAAATTAGTGATAGTTCGGTTGACATAGTCAACCTATTGGGAAGTTCTTTTAAATCATTGTAATCTGCATTTAATTCCTTTAATTTAGGTAAAGAACCAATCCATTCTGGCAATGCAACAAATTCATTTTCAGAGATAGACAAAACTTCTAAGTTATGCATTTGGTTCATTTCTATAAAAATTGTATAAGGGATTAAATTACAGAAAACCTTTAATGTAACATCTAAAAAACTTACCAATTGGCAGTTTCTTGAGAAGGTTTTGATTTAGTAATAAAGACTTTAGACTAACTAAGTTTCCTATACAAGGAGGTATTTGCTCCAAGCAATTGTGACTCAAATCAAGGACTATTAACTGACTCATTTGACAAAGTTCTGGAGGTATTTCTTTAATTAGATTTCCAAAGATATACAAATTAGTAACATTGTACAGTTCCATAATCCATGAAGGTAAAGTAGTAAGCTTATTCCTTTTTAAATATATTTCTTGAATATGGTTTCCACAAATCCTTAATGCTTCTGGAAGTTCCACAAGGTCTCGATAATTCCAATGCAATATTACTTTGTTTTTGATTTCGTTCATCATTTCTGTAGAATCTGAGTCCATTTTTAAATAAATTTAATAAAAATTGTTTTTATATATAAAACAGAGAGTAGATTCTGAATTTCAGAGGTTGGCAGCCAACCTTCAAGGTATGCTCAAAATAACTTGGCCTGTTTGGAAGATTTATATCAACAACCTATTATACAACATTATTAATTTGTATAATGTTTTATGATGATTAGTTTGTATTTAAAAATGTACATAATCTTGATACAATTTTCAAATAACAGATATTTAAGAGTAATTAATAATTTTTAAATTAGTATCTTTATTATATGTTTCAACATATAACAGTTGCAATATCTATTAATAAATATTACTTATTTAACAATTGAATTTATTAATGACAATTAATCCAAAAGGAGTTTATTCTTCTACATTATAAGTTTATACTTACTCTTATGTAATGCAGTTAAACAGAGGTAGTACTGAAAATGTAAATATTTCTTACGTTTTGTAGAAAGTGACATTAAATTCTTTGATTTTAAATTAAAATTATATACTAACATTTAATTCTAAAATTTGAAGTGTTTTACATTAATAAATATTTATTTATTGCGAATGAAATACATATCTTCGACTATTAATCTTTAAATATTCGTCGCACTTCATTTTTTACAATGAATGTTTATTAGTTTATATTTACACTAGCTGTCATATTGATTCGTATTGTTTACTATATAGTTGACATCTATCCGTGCGCATTTTAAGTCTGTTTTATTCTACCAGGGGACGCTTGTAGGAAGCAATGTCATTTCCCACCCGATCTAAACTCTAACCTAACTTGATTTACGTTCAACGTTTTTTAGATAATTATATCATTTTAAACATGTTTTTTAATAACATCTGATTCTCGCACATTATAAACAGTTTTGCGTCTAGTTATCAGCATTTAGAACTCGTTAACACTCCTTGAACGAAGTGAAGCATTGTTCAGTAAAAACTAATATTTATATTTTGGTGAATGTACTGGAACATAACAAAGGAGAGTCAATAATAAATTATTACGATAAAAAGCATTTATCTTTTGTCATCGACTTGTTATTTATAACATACGACAATGTATAAACGGAAATTTGATGAAATAGAAGATAGTAATAGTGGTAAACCACCAATAAAAAATTCATTAGATTCAGATGAAGAAGATGATGATGCTAACGAGGATAATTATAATATAATGAGTGATAATGAAATTGAAGGTGTGTAAAAATATAGAAAATACTACTTAATCTGATATTAACTGTCTGTATTTAATTTGTAGGTGCTGAGGATGGACCAAGTGCTCCAGAAACAAATGTGGGTTTTACAGCATTTAATATGAAAGAAGAATTAGAAGAAGGACACTTTGATAAACAGGGCCATTATCTTTGGAACAAAGAAAAAGAAATTAGAGATAATTGGTTAGACAACATTGATTGGATGCAGGTTTGTAAGATAACTTGATAAAATAATTCTAATTTTCGGATACATGACTAAAATGAATCTATTCAATTTCTATGTATATAATATAAAGTAAACCTTTGATATTCTATAATTTATAATAAAATGTAGATTTTTTTTGTATTTTTAATGTCTCCTTGTTCTTGGACTTTTACATATTGAAATATGAGAATATGTTTTCATACAGCAGACAAATAGAATTATCTGTAAACCTGCCTTGTTTACTCAGTGATGCAAAACATTACTAAGGCATAATCTTGATAGATCAAACCGAGTTCTGCAGCAAGTGTAAAGAAGGAAAGTGAAACCGATGAAAAACATGGACTGGCAGATAGCGATAGTGGGGATGAAGGTCCAGATATTATGTTCGATCCAACTCAAATTTATAAACAAATTTTGGAATACTTACAACCTGGGGAAACTGTTTCCAAAGCTTTGTGCAGGCTTGGTAACTATTTTAATTAATAAAGTTTTATTTAAAAGAATATCTTACTCATAATACTTATTTACAGGGAAAGGAAAGAAGAAATTAACTACTGCAGAAAGGTGGAAGAAGAAACAAGAAAAGAAACTAGTAGAAGATGACCACAATTCTATCAGTATAACAAAATTAACAGAATTGGCAAATGAATTGCTGACTCGTACTGGAAATATGGATATATACCAAGAAAGTTATGAACATATTAAAAAGAAGGTAATTAATTATAATTTTAAAAAAGGATTAGTAATAGACATCACAAGTTTTTAGCAAGTCTATTGTAATGTGAATTTTACAGGTTGGACAAGGTGAAAAACATGCACATCCTTCGAAACAAGAAGCAGAGTTAGATATGTATGCTGATGACTTTGATGTAAAAGAAAAAGCAAAATTAGATGGAAGTGAAAGTAATTATACTTTTTGTAAAATCATATATTGCTTATATTGTTTCATAATATCATATATTCGCCTGATATTTAGGTAATGTTAAAGAAACTGATAATTCTGAGGAGGATGAAACAACGGAAGCAGAAATAACTTGGGAATTAAAATGGTCACAGGATGAGAATGCAGAAATTCACGGCCCGCATACAAGTGAACAAATGCATGCTTGGGCAAAAGAAGGATACTTTAAGATTGGAGCTTGGGTACGAAGAACAGGACAAAATAATCAATTTTACAATGCTGCAAGAGTGGATTTTGAACTTTATCTGTGATGTTTTGTTCTAATACAACCATCCGATAAAACAGCTAGTATCGTAATTTTTTAATTATGGATTACTAAACTAGTACTTTAATTTCAACGCAATTGGAAACAGTGTATAATTCAATAATATTTGGATTACTAACGTGTCAACATGTACAGTATTGTTAAAAAGTTCAACGAACAAATATTTCGGCATTTTAAAACCATAACATAACAAATGTTAAAGCTAAAAAAATTTTCCTTGTCTGTATTTAAAGAGGGATATTGTTAGCAATAATATCGAGTAACAACTCATTCCATGTACCTAAACTGTATAAAATAACAATTGTCCATTCTTGATACATATCGCAGAAATAAAAGCATTCGCGAAGTACAATTATTCACTATTTTCCATCTATATTTTATTCTATTTACAAAACTTCAAAATTTATGCTTTGAAGATATTTATCTTTAACGATGTACTTTGAATGTTTTTGTTGGCGTTTTACTAAAGACCATCCGGTGTGGCACTTAAGCCAAGAAAAAACCAAACTTACACTTTAGGAACTTCCTCTGCATACTCAATAGGGGGACCAGGGATGGCGGAATTTATGGTCCGCTTGGCACAGTATTTTTAAATAGGATTTTATCCCTAAAGTAAATCTATTTGTACCACGCATAAAAACCTTGCGACTACCCATGTTTATCTAATAGAGTGCAACTCGGTGTTCTTCATGTTCTGCGTTTTCGAGAAAAATCAATTCGGAAAAATCTTCAGTTCCTTGCTTGCTTCTTATTTATTGTGTCCATTATAAAATTATAATAAACAAATACTGGGTAAAACATAAAAGTATCAAACGTTACGATATAAAAAAGAAAAGGCATCTTGATAGATGAAATATAGGGATTAGGACAGCTGAACAAAATTACTCGCTACAGTACACACATAGGGAAATAGCGTAACACAAAAAGGATTTAACAGGCATTCTGTATACGTGACAAACAGCACACGTATTACTGAATATACAATATAATTTTATTAGATATCTTAAACATTTTTATTAGCAATGTATGAAATTTCTATACGATTACTTAAAATATTTCGTGTATGTAAGTAAATCGTGGTAAGTATAAATTCGTACCTCCGACTTGAAGTTTGACAGAAATTTCGAGCGGAGTATTGAAACGGTACATAAGACGAGGGGTTCGTTTTGGTAATGTTAGAGCATCGTGGCAAAAGTCGAGCGAACTCCTCTGACGATCGATTTGAAATTGCAAAAATCCTTCACACAATTCGCCAACACGTTTGTAGAAAATATGAGTGTGCATGTACGCGACGCAGAGTGACATCTACGTTATATTAAATTTGTTTTTTTTTTTTATAAGAAAACGGGAGAAGTTTCGAAAAAACGTTATCAAATTCGAAGATCCATCGCGTCGAGGAAGAAATAGTTTTCGCCGCTATAACCTTGCGGAAATGGTCAATTCCATGCTCAGCGATTCCACCGAAAATTCAGCGAATCAGCGAAATGAAAAAAAAAGAAAATAGAATCGCCGACTACCGCGTCGATATTCTCAACTTTCGTCTCTCTCTCTCTCTCTCTCTACGCTTGATAAGAAGAGCAGCGAAAAAGACGAAAAGAAATAGATAACGGTGAAGAAAGAGACTGTACATATACAGAAATGACGTCTATGAACACACGAAACTATCGTAAGTACTAATATTTACAGGAAAAATTCACACAGGTATAGGCGGTATAGTTTGACGACGAAACAAGTTATACACTGGTCTTTTCTCTTTGATTCTCGCAGTATACAATCAGGATACAGAAAAAACGATTGGGAAACAGATCAGACATAGGACGAAGAAAAGGTTAAGTACGGCACAAACAGCGGACGCATTCGTTAAGCCGGTTTCATAAACGCACGCAAAATACGCAAACTGTTCTAACGAAGTTATATACGAAGATGTATCGTTTCTCTCATATTGTATGTTCGAGCAAAAAAGAAACGTTCGCCTTGATATTGTCTTAATTCTAACCTTAATTAATCTACAGGTTACTATAGCTCCATTAAACGTCAGATACAATGAATACACGCGGGTATGCCCTGATGTTTGAGGAAGGAATCACTCGGAATATCGCAGAGGAATTTCGGCAAGCCGTGTATAAATAGGAAATTGTTGTACTCGCGATAAATTGCTTTTCGCGTTGTTATTCGAGGATTAATGTAGTAAATTAGCGTTAATTTGCTCCGGTTCGTTCGATATCCCCGAGCTTTGCAAATTGACAACAGATTACGACACAGCTATCTAGAATTCGCACTTATCCCCCTGGGAATTACAGAAATTTAATTAGTTACCACATTATAATCTAAATAGAATTATAGCAACCTTGTAACTTTAATACAATCAAACATTCAAAAATTTCGTATAATAAAATGTGTCGTTGAAAAATCGAAAAGATATTCAGTTTCATCTGTAGTTCCTCCATTTTTCGTTTCGTTTTCACTGTTTCAATTACGTTCGATTCGAATTTCAAACTTTTTGCAATTTCTCGTCGTTAACCCTTTCACTGTTTTGTTTTGGCGTTTTAAAATATTTGAAAAATTTTTAAATATAAATTCGAAATTAACATTTTTTAATTTATCGTTTGGAAAATTAAATGTTTACATTAAGTGTGCCAAGAAACGTCAAATAAAGTGAAATAACAGCAGCGAATGGGTTAATGATAGAACGTGTTATCAAAATTTCATCTTACACCACGAGAATTTCATACTCTTTGATAAATTTTGTTGTAAAAACCATTCTATAGATATTCCTTCAAAATCTTCAGGCCAATCGTATTCGTGCCACCAACAAACAGCATAAAAGTCACAAAGAAGTTATTGTGATTCTCAAATGTTCACATTAACAAATTAATCAAATTCACATTCAAAATGATCAAAAAACGATTGTTCTCACGTTCCAATAGTTCCATTTTCTCTTAATACAAAAATACGTTTTTAAATAATTCATATTTTACAGGGTGCACAATACTTTTGGCCAAGACTGTACGTCACCCACTTGTGGTGTCTTGATCTTAATACCACAACTAGATAACTCAAAAATTGACACTTTCTGGACAAGTACATCAGAAGTCGTCGTATTTTCCTTGCAACCGTGGCGTGCTAAAAGTAGACAATTCTAGCAGGGTGCCTTAGGTGGAAATGTCGAAGTAGATAAGTTTAAAATTAACTCCCCGTTTAATGCTGAAACTCAATAACGAACTCGGTAGTTCCAGCAAGTGAATTTCAGCCATCTAGTTGTAGTACCAAGAAGAAAAACTATTCAATCAAAATTATCACGCTCGAACGTTTCCAGACATGGCGACAATTGCGACGAAAGAATCATGACGAAAAATGACGAAGAAAAAAAAAGAAGAATGACGTCTGAAACAGCAAGTGAATTAACAGATTCTCGGCGTATACTCGAAGGGACTTTTCTCAAACACAGGGAGGAACGAAGCGGTGCTTTGGCGACACCGTTCATTAGCCGCATTAGCATCGATGAAGACTCGAGTTGAACGAGGGACCAGCACTCGAGCGATCGAGCGACGACGCCCGGTCATCGTCTTCTTCATCGTGATACACGCTAGAGACGCGTCTCGCGTCGTCGATTCGCGAGTCAGCCAGCAGTCGGCTGTACACGAAATCATTCTCGATAAATCGTTAACAAGAGTGTATTTTCTCGCATCGTTGTTATGAAACCGGCGGAGACAGACAGACAGACAGACAGACAGACAGACAGACAGACAGACAGACAGACAGACGGACAAACAGACAGACAGATAGAGAAAGATAGACAATTACACAAATAGACAAAGAGAAAGAGTCGGGAATAACGAACAGCGAAAAACAACGGACACTTGAAGACGGACGTTTACGCGCCTGAGGAACGTGATGTGCATTCGACGTTGCGCAGATCTCTTCTTGTCTCTATGTACATACAAAAATAGCCGTCTATGGGGCCGCGCCTCGAACGCATCGAAATCCCCGTGACACGAAACCGGAAAGGAAGGAGAAAGAGGGAGAAAAAGGGGGAAAAAGGGGGGGGGGGTCGCGAAGAACGGAAAAGGAAGCGAAACAGAGGGAAGCTGCTGCTGTTGCTTTCGTCTTTCTCGCGCGACATCCACCGGTTCCTCTTTCTACGGTCGCTCGAGCAGCCTCCCTCTTTTTCATCTTCCTCTTCTTCGTTCCACGGGACGAGATCCATGTAGCATGACTAACTACCATGACTAACGAGTCGGGCGAAGTGCCACCGTGGAATCTCTTGGCTACCCGACCGGGAAGGTGGGCCCAATGAAACGCTTCCAACTCTAATATTTTGGCTTGTCAGAGGGTGGTCCGGTGGCTCGTTTCTTCTTTTTTATTTTCGTTTCTTTTCTTTCTACCATTCGTTCTCCTCTCCCCTTTGCCTTCCCCTTTTCTTTTCCCATTCTAATTGCCCTTTAATCTAGGTTTCTTAAGCTCGAAGCGTCCCTTCTGTTGGATCCTCCAACAGTTCTTGCCCTGTTTCCCTTCTGCCCTCCCGAACGCTCGCTTAATCCATATCGAATTAATCCCGAGGATAGCGACTTGCTCGAAATGAAGCTACGCTAGGTATTTACGTGGCGCGTTTAATCGGTTTTTCCGTGTGATTCGATGGTTTTAGATGCGATTGAAAAAATTTGGGTTTCTTGTTTGTTCAGTATTTTTTAGGGGAGGAGATAGAATGCTGGATTTGAAGTTTTTGTAAGGTTGTATACGTGAAGATTGTCAAATTTCACTTAGAATGCAGGTGAAAATAAATAGAACACAGAGTATATGAAGATATCGTCGTTTCAATGAATAAAAATTACGAAACTGCAAAAATTTCATTTACCAAAAGAGAAGAAAATTACTTTGTTAGTTAATGTAAAATCACCTTTGAACTATGTAACGTAACTTTACGAAATTACACGTTGGTAACAAACAAAATAATTTAGCTGAGATTCGCAAAAATCGCAACTTTGCAACTCTATAATTGGATATAACGGGCGTACAAATAATCCGTTATTTTTCATTCATTCATTAAAATAACTCTTATATTTGAATACCATTTCCTATCTGCCAGATTTGAAACAAATTCAAGACCAACGAAAAGAAGTGAAATATGCAGATGATAATTTAAAACAAAATAAAAAACATACTCCTACATTTATAGTGTCGTTTAAAAATTTATTAAAATTGACGCGATCTGTTTCCGCAAGTACCAACCTTCCAAACATTCCTATCATCCATCCTTCACGTATCCCCCAAATCAAACGACCCCTCCTATATCACCGATAACATATAAAACCGCTTCGTATCTAAACCGATCAGAGCAAAAATCGAGTTCCCAACCGGAAACTCTTCTCAACGATTTGCTCGCACGTATAGTGCGCTGCCATAAAGCAGGCTCCGCGTCGGATTAACCCTTGCGTTAGCCCGGTGAATTTTTATATATATTTGGAGAATTTAGTATTCTTATTTTCTGTTTTTGCATTATCTCAACACCTCAAATCACTGAAATTTATTATTGAAAAATATAAAATTCGTTCACTTATCCTCTAATAATTTTCGGGATATTAAACTAGAAATATTTGCTACCGCCAACTTCGAGAGTAATTTTCACCTCTTCACTGTGAACGATATAAAAAAATACACGTGAAATATCTTTTCGAGAACTACTATATACCACAGTTTCATGAAAATCGGTGATTCCCCTTGTAAGTTACAATATTGGCAACATCTTCGAAATCAAAAGTAATTAATCACAGCCGAATGTCCGGAAGTCTCGATTAAAAATTCAAGGAAAAAGAAAGAAATCAAATCAGAATGAAAATTAACGGTGTTCGGTTTGTCAGATCTCGTCACACTTGATCCAGGATTCAAGCAAGGTACCGGAAGTCAGGTTTATCGGTGTGGATCGGCGAAAAATGAAATTGGAATTGAAAAATCGCTACGGTCCGCGTAACCAGATCTCTCCGCGGAGGATCTATCGTTCCGAATAAGTTTCCGGTCCGGCTGTGACAGCCGATTGGTCGCGAACTTCGCTATCGAAACTTGCGAAAATTCCGCGGTGATGGACGGTCGTTCCGTGAACGAGAGTCACGCAGCTTCTGGGTCACTGGGACCGTCGTTCCTCTCCCGTTTCTGTTTTCACCCCCGTCTCGATTCTACCCGACAGTTGAAATCCGGGGGAGAATTAATTTTTCAAGGCTGTCCAATAATCGAGAGGGATAACATTGGCCCTTTTGGATCGAACCGAAGTTCTGACCGATTTCCAACCGTGGCGGAAACGCGTTCTTACAGGTGGCACGAATATTTCATCCGCCACGAATTCTTTATGTGTAGAGCCCACTGGCGTTAACCCGGTTCGATCGTGGCGTAAATTAAGCGGTCGAGCATCGGGGGAACTGTTTGAATTGAAACGCCTACGGCTAGCAGCCGAGCGCAAATTCTATTCGAACCCCTTCCGGATCGCGTTTCGGCCATTTGTACTACATCTTTCAAAATTGCCCGCTTATGTGTTCATACGAAGCTGCGTTTTGAAGGGGAACTCCTATGGAATACGGTTATTATTTACCCCGTGGCCTGGGGTCATTCACCTTTCGGTCTTACTACGGGGGTTCTTCTGTGGAATTTTTGTTCTACAGTCTTAATTCTTGATCGGTGGGTAGGTTTGACGAAGGTCAATTGTACTACTGGTTGAGAAATGTGTTTTGAAAAACTGCTTTTAACGAAAGAACGAATTTTTATATTATCGTCTATAATTTGTTCGGTAACTAAGGTACAACGAGAAATGAAGAACGTTTCCGGTAGATATTAACCCTCGAATGGTGGGTCGATAGCCGGGTCAAATATGACCCAACACATAAATTTCTTTCCTACGTAAGCGAAACCACTTTTCTTTTATTTTACTAGGTATTGCATTGTTTAAAATTATACAAATGTATTATAATATAAGAAGAGGAGGTATAAAAGTCCGCCGTCCTATTATCTTTTACACATTGCAAAATTCTGTCAGCAGTAATACTGTCTGTAATAAAGTCTGCGATATGAAAAACAATCGTAATTTATGAACACAGGTAGCATACGCGTCTCCAGTTATATTAATACTCGGATTATCGAAGTGAACGATAAAACTTTCAATTGTAGGTACAATCAATGCAAAGCACTGCGAGTAAACAGATTTGTCAGGGGCTCTAAACGAAATCTCACACTTTCGCGTATAATACGAAATAATAAATTAAATTCATCATCCTTTATAATACTACATTTTCACATCTCGTTTTAAATGTTCGAAAAATACCCCCGGTTAACGGGAAGCTTCTTTTTTTTTCATTTCCAAGACGTCCACAGCTAAGGAAAACGGCCATAATTTTGAAGAAAATTCCCTTCTTCTCGTTTTGTCCACGTGTTTCGTAAATATGATTAAAAAAATTCGCAAAAATCTTAAAAACGGACTAGACGTGCCTAACCTGTTAATCTCGAGAAAGCAGAATCGATAGAAACCTGGTAGATCTAAATTGATTCGGAAAGAACAGTAACCGACCTCGTTTCACCAATCGAGAGATCTATTATTCCGAGGAACGCCCGATGAAATTACTATTCCCGAAATTCAACGGGCGAACCGAGGTTTTTGAGCGAGCGAACGGAACGAGCGGGCAGAGGTTTACCGTGCCGAATTGGATATTTAACTTTCGAACTTCCCCTCGAGGAGCCATCGCGCCGAGAGACTTTAATCAGCGGGAACTCGATATTCCATTAAATTTCTAGACGCGTTGCGTTTCGAGGACGCGCGCCACGACGGCGAAACGCGCACGGAGCGTCGCGTACCACCGTGTTCGCGGTGATTCCCCCATTTTTTCCACACGTCACACTCGTCACGGATGACGATCGTTCCGTATGCAAAAACGTACGTGTGCGCATACACCTGTCCACGAATCTCCGGATATTTGATAGAATCTAGGATAAAGGCGAATGTACGAGGCAAAATGAGATAACAATGCTTCTTGCATTAGGTCATCCTGAAATTTGTATTTAAAATAACTTCCATAATGTTCGAGACACTTTTGCCAACTTATCATAAGAGTGTTAATTTCGCGTGTATAAAAATTCGAATCTCCAAGAGAAAGAAACTGACTGAAAGATAATTTCAATATACTCCTAAATGGTTTTTCTGCGAGGAGATTGTCAAGTGAGCGGAAAAAGTGAAAATCTGTTGGAGATAAATCAGAGGGGATGTGAGGGATGAGATGGAACCTCGATACACAGTTGACGCAATTTTTGTACAGTTCTGCTTGCTGCGCGCGGTATGGCGTTGTCATGCAAAAGGATTAGGGTCCTTTCTGTTGACCAGGGCCGGTTGCTGTGCCTTCAGTTTTTGATGGACGACCTCCAGTTCGGTACTGTACGACTCTGCACGTGATAGTGGTAGCCGGTCTTAGGAAATTGCAGCGAATTAATCTCGAAGTAGATCACCGAACTGTGAGAATGTTTTTTTTCGGGTGTAAACTAGGTTTGGATCGGGGGAAATTCATTTGTTGGCAAAAGTGTATCGAACACTATGGAAATTATTTTCGATAAAAATGTTTCATTTCAACGGAGTTCTGTTTTTTTTTTTTTTTTCAAAATGAACTTTCAGGATGACCTAATTATACTCTGCACCTCAGAACTCTGCAATTAAGTCTCTTTCTTTAAATATTGCAACGGTATTCCATTTTCACCGAAAAACGTGTATAAATCATTTTTGAAGTTATTTCTTTTTCACAAACGTTGTAAATAAAAGAAACAAAATAGAAAGGTATATAAAATGAATAAAAATGAGAGTGGTTTCGCGGATGTGAAATTCAGCTCGCTAAGATTCTACCGCAATGGTCGTTTCGTTCGAGACTATCGAGTGCCCCGGTGATTTATGGACGGAAGTATGCATATCGATACGTGAATTCGAAAGCGCGATTCCCTTCCGCTGATGCTTCGTGATGGATACGTGTACATGCATGTTCTTCCTGATGCATCAAGTATATTCTTTTTTTCTTCTTCTCGTATTCAAAACGTAACATCTTTCCAAACTTAACATCATAAATTAATAAATAAATATATATATTATTTATGTGTGTATATATATCATTATGTATAATACGCTTAAAGTCTGTATAAACGTGTGTAATCTCGTCTCTCTAAATATACCTCGGGTGTCACAGTGTGTGTTCCTAATGGTAAAGGTCGCGTCTATTATTGCTTCAATTTACAATCTGCTTCTGAAAACGGTCCTCTTCACTCGACTTCAGCGGACTCAAGTGCAAAAGAAAAAAGGAACCGTTCAGTTACGAATTCTTCTAACATTTGTGTCTTTTGCTCCCTTCAATGTGTGTTTCCGTGTGTATATGTATCCACGTGTGTACGCCATATATATATATATAAAGGTATAAAGACAGAGAAAGATAGTGAAAGAGATAGAGAGATAAAGGAACTCGCGTTAACGCGACGTTCCTTTCTTCTTTGAACTCGCTTCTCGCTTAAATCCTTGTGCTTGAGGTAGCCGATTGTTTCGCGAAAAATCTGTTGTCATGGTTCCTCAGCTTAGAACGGACATCTTTGTATAAGAATCGGGGAAGGGAGAAGAAACAGAAAGAATGAAAAAGTGAAAGAAGAATGTGAATAGTAGAAAAAGAAGAGAAAAAGGGGGATAGAAATGGGAGAGAACTAAGAAAAAGACCGAAACACAGATAGTGGAACGCGAGTGAGAGAGGAAGAGTAATCTTGGGGACGCCTAGTCTCTAGGAGGGTTTAAACGGACTAACGAGACGCTGCTTTGATTTGATTTGTCACTACGTTTAAATGCGAAATGAACGCCCGCCTCGGAACACGGCGCCCAGCATTTGCACTGAACCAACGGAATCCGACGCAATCCGTGAAAATAAATACGTTCCCTCCCTGTAACGGGCGCGCTTCGGCCCCCCTCGTGTACTACACAACGTGGCGGCCACGTTTATGCGCCCGTACAATTTACATTCCGAGTCAGATTGCGTTCCCCCAGCGCGAAAATGCATTCTACTGTTCTCCAGCGGCGCGACTATCTCGTCGGAAGACATTTCATTTTCAACTCGTCCACCACGAGTCAGCTCCTCTCTTTCTCTCTCTCTCTCCTTTCAGCCAGGCATTCTCAAAGCACTCGTTCTACATCGGTGGACGACGATCTACTCCTTCTTCTTCGTGTACCACGTGTTGCCTGAACCACGATCCGATCAGCAGAGGACCCTCCCCCTCTCTGATCTACTGGATCGGTCGAGCAACGCGTCGGAAACTTTATCCTCGAGAAAGGTGAATCTCATGCCATAAACGACGGAATCGATACCTTCGACGAACGAAGGATTACCGTATCACGGCTGATCTCTACCAATCAGTTAGAACAGATCCGAGCCTATTAAAGGGCCCCTCCACGCTGTTCTCTCGTCGACTCTCGCGATGGATTGAACGCGCGAGTCTGTCGCCGCCGGAATTTCTTCCGTAATCCCCGGACGTGACCGAAGCACGGAGCCGTTGTCACGGGCTAATCCCTTTCTTCCCCGCGAGTCTTTTATTCGAAGAAAAGAGTTCTCTGCCCAGGTCTCAACATGTTCTCGCTAAAAACACCACTGGCACGCGTCGTCCTACGACTTTCCAGTATCGTCCGGTGGCTCGAAGCTCGGAGCCTGCGCTCAGACGAACACTACGTGAGGCTTCTGCGGAAGCGGAGGTCCGTAATCGTAATCGTACTCGTAGTCGTAACCGTAGTCGTGCGGGTGAGCGTTCGATCTCTCCGCGGCTGGGCTCTCCACGTGATGAAGCGACAACACTTCCGGTGTGTCGTCGCGGACATCGGTCACGTCAGCCACCGCGTACACAGCCTCTTCTCTTTGCCTCGCGTAGAACGGATCCACCAAGTCGCCGTGATGCTCGTTCGGCCTCGCGTACCTCGGTGTCTCGTAGATGTTCGTGTCCTGCGGTTGCAAGCTCCGTTGTCTGCTTTTTCCACGCAGCGTGAAGTACGAGGTATCTTTGTTTCGTGCTAACAATCGCCTGCTGTACGATTCCGCGTTCTTCCCTATCGCGTCGTTGTTCCTGCCTACGTAGACGAGGAATTCCGGTCTAGGAACTCTGGCCGCGTAAGCCAGTCGTTTCTTCCTCTTCGAGTGTGTCATACGGAATATCACCATTAGAATGGTAGCTGTGGTGAAAAGACAGCCGGCCAGTAGGAACAGATAGAGGCTGTTCAGTTGACAGCGCAAAGAACCTTCCGATAGGGCGATTAGGGCTTTACCGGCGAATTCCTTGTCGGTGCAGATAATATCGTGGGTATCCAACTCGAGCCTCGACTCGTTCCGTCGCTTTTCCGCCCTGATAACGTTCCACAGCCAGTGCACCGAGCAATTGCAGACCAGGGGATTGCCGCCAACGCGGAGGGACGACAGACCGTCCACGGGGAATTGCGTGGGTTGTAAAGTTGACAGGCTACAGCGACGTAGCGAGACCCATTTCAGATATCTCGCGTTGTAGAGAATACTTGGCGGCAGCTCCTTCAGACCCCGATTACCGTCCATCGAGATCCGTTCGAGATTCACGTTGTCGGCGAACGCTCTCGTGTGAACTCTGACGATCGCGCAGTCGTTCAACTCGAGGATTCTCAGCTCAAAGAGATTGCGAAAACCGCCTGGTTCGAGGACGCCCAACCGATTCCGGCTGAGGATCAGTTTCGACAGTACGTTCAGCCTGGCCAGAGCGAAAGTCGGTACGGACGTCAGGTTGTTCCCGGAAAGATCTAGATGCAGCAGGTCTGGTAAACGGTCGAACGAGTCGTCGGCGATATTCCTGATAACGTTGTTCGCCAGATCTAACGAGATTAACGAGGGCAACGACGGCAACGAGTCTCTGTCCAGCTGTTGGATCAGATTGTCGGACAGGTCTACGTTCTTCAAGCTTGGCGCCAGTGCTAAGTTGTCGGTCGGTATCTCCAACAGCGAGTTCTTGTTCACTATTAAAGTACGGATTTTGTGTAGATTCTTCAGCAATCCCTCTGGTAAACTGGTGATCGAGTTATCGCTGAGATTCAATACTTCCAGCTCGCTGGTACTTTTAAACGCTTGCTCGTCCATATCGGAGATGTTGTTACTGGCCAGATTTAATTCCTTCAAAGAGTCCAAACCTTGCAACGAATTCTTGGCCAACGCTCTAACAGCGTTACTGCTTACGTTCAACGTGACCAGGTTCTTTTGGAAGACGAAATTCTCCGAGCCCAATGTGTGAATAGCGTTCGACGTTAGATCGAGGCTCTCCAGGTTACCGTAGAAGCCGAACGAGACGTGAATATTGCCGACACGATTGTTGGACAGATCCAAGTGTCTGATCTCCGGGTTCAATTGGATCGGAACGACCTCGAGGCCTGCGTAAGCGCAGGAAGCGCGCAAGCTCTCGTCGTCGCAACGACATTGCGTCGGGCAAAGACCATTCGCCATCACTGACATCGCGACGGCCATCGCTATCGCGATTGGCAGCGTCGTCGCCGAGGGTCCACGTGATGCCATTCCATATGAGCTCCTCCTCGACTGGAACTGCCCTGTAACAGCATACAAATGGGAACGTTGATTAGTTTTCTCTTGTATCCGATCAAATTTTCTTGTACACTAATAAATTTTCATTTAATTTTTCGTTCTTTCTTTTTCTTCTATTGGTATACTACAAATGAAGAATTTTTTTACTTTAAATTTTGGCACCTTTTAAACGGTTTATATTATTATTCTTAATAGAATTTGTTGGAACACTATGAATTCAGTGGTTCTATAAACTGCACCTTTTAGAGTTTTATTAGATGTTAATAAAATTTCAGTCAATCTTTTAATTCTTTGCCAACGATGGACTCGTATATACGTTCACAAAAAATTATGAACGCAATCGGTATATCTACTCACACAGTTTCGAGCAACAAAAGTAGCTAAAGCAACGGAAATGTAAGTTTGAAAGTTTCAGCAACGAGAATATAATTCCCACATGATTTACTTTAAGAAAAGAATTGAAATATTGACACAGTCACATGTTGTACAAATAATCAGCATCTCGACAGTTAAATAAAATTCTTCAAAATAACACAGATTCGGTACTTTTGAAATGTTATTATTTTAGAGATAATCGGATGTCCATTTTACAAACCAGACATTTAACGAAACAAAAGTTCATTCGGAGTTATTAATCAAGGGTGCTCGTAAAGCTCTGGGATTGTAAAGTTTCTAGTAAAGAGAAAAATTCACTTTGAAATGTCTCTGGTTCAATCAGTTCCGGTCATGTTTGTGTGTAACTGCAACGAGTGTTTGTTGAGCCTGCTATTGTCTGCTGGCAAGTACAGAGGCATAAAACTCGCATGAACTTGTAATCACGGTAGACATCGTAAATTCGAAACGAGTCATTATTTTCCTTTTATGGAAAGCAACTTCATTCGTTTGAATTTCCTATTCGGCAAATTTCCATCTAATCATTTTGGAAAAAGAATGTTTATTGTTTATGAATTTATTTATTTCTATTTCTCATTTTAATTTCCATTGTTTCAAGAATAGAGAAAAACCCAAATTTTACATTTTTAAGTTCTCCAAAGTAATTACGCGTGTCGCCGTAATGGCAGTATACTTTTGCAGTGAAACTTTCGAAAACCGTTTCATTTTGGAAAAAGAATGTTTATTGTTTACGAATTTATTTATTTCTATTTCTCATTTTAATTTCCATTGTTTCAAGAATAGAGAACCCGAATTTTACATTTTTAAGTTCTCCAAAGTAATTACGCGTGTCGCCGTAATGGCGTCATTCGAGTGCGAAGGGTTAACCAATTCTCGAAAATTTCATTTAAACGACAATTCGTCCGTTCGATCGTAATTCTCAGAACTATTTGAAATTCATTATCTGGATTCCTTGATAACAAACTATTCTAACGACGAAGAAAACGTGGTCTCAGGCAAATTTTAGCAACAGCTGGACGTGTTAAAAGATATAGTAAGGCTTGTTAAAACACACGGTGACCATTTGGAGCAGCTGCTGCCGAAGATAAGCGAGCAGAAATTACAAGAGAGCGAAAATGATAGTTTTTACAATGTTAAATACAATTCTCAAACGAGTGTTGTATATTATGCTACAGCTTGTACGCCGTTATACAACTACTATATTCTCCAAATGAATGTTCGCAGGAACATGCTGGGAAATGCATATTAGAAAATGTATGAAATTGCATAAATACGAGGTGGAAAGAGACTTTTAGCAAATGTGGATCCTGAATTATTTGGCTATGAAATGCAGAAAATGTTTGACCCATTTCACTTACAATATCGCTTTATTAAAAATATTTATGAAATTCTACCTAAAATATTTCGACGCGTGAAACGGTCAACGGAATTGCGTATTTATGTGTACACTCCCGTTAAAAAGTATCAGCAGACGTACTAAACGTGAAGCAAACTTAAACAGTCATTCTGAAATTTCTTAAGATGCTGATAAGAATTATTCAGTCTGGAGGTTTGATAAAAACATATGCAAACTAGTGTGATAAAGCTTAATTAACGAAAAATTATTCTAATTTAAAATTGTCTCTTCTAAAATAGTGACAAGAATGGTAACCGTATCATATTGTCCTCAATTTTTCTCTTCATTTTAGAGATACTGAGAAACGTACACGCACAGTCCACGTATTTTCTGATCAAATTTTTATTTTTTACTTTTACCGACACATGGTACTAACTTTCACATAGAAGTGTAATTTAAATCATACAATATAACCGGTGTCCCAATATTTACGAACTTCACTGTACATTGCTGACGGTTTTTAATATTCCCAACGCAAAGTGTTTCGTTAAAAAACAGACACACGTATCAAATAAAAATTTCTATTCGTCTAAGATTCATTTCGAACATCTCGCAGACGATCTTTTTGGACCGAATATTGTGTCGTGATGAATTCAATGAGCACGTGGTGTGTGTAAGGGAAGGAAAACGATGCTCTTTGTAAGACGACGAGATCTGGTGCTTCAACGTTGATTCAGATTACTCTAAATTACGCTCGGCAAATTAGAGGAGTAACTTCTCGGAAAAGTAATAGAAATCTTGGCCGTAGACCAAACCCATGAATGCGGCGATGGTACCGTAATAAAATAGTACCGTGACGTAACGAAGGGAAATGGGATAGGCACAACAGTATCTTAATATTGATTACCATGAGAAAATCAATATCACGGTATGTACGTTTATAGAGTTATTAAATTATACATCAAGTATACACAGTGCCGCTTCTATTCATCCGTTTCTCGTTTTCATTGGCTGTACGAAAGTACCTATGTAGATACACGTACATTTCTCCTCGCTGCGTTAAACTCGACAAACTGATAATTCCCAAATAAAAAGGAAAAACAGAAGAAAAGACTTCAAAGCATCGGTAGTGAAAAATAAAGGTACAACGAATATGGAGGGAGGGAGGGGTAGCTTGTTAAAACTATCGGTCGAGGTTTATCCATTCCGAGCACGTCAAACGTCCTCAATATGCTAAACATCAAATCATTTTTTTTTCAAGCGACGATCGAATCGCGCCTATTGGAAGCATTCCACGTAGAAACTGGCTGGCCTGTCTCCCTTTATAAAATGAATCGAACAACATGTCATTGGTCCAATGCCAGAAGGCCAACCCAGCGTGTACACACGCACATATATAGAGAGATATGTGTGTACATACACATGGACATGAGAAAAGAAGAGACATGGAACTCAACCCTAAGTCCGCGAAAGTTTCGAGTTACGCGACCACTCAACTTTCTATAGCCCACCCGTTTTCCTATAGTTTTCCTTCCGCGCCAGATAAAGACGTTTTTCCGCGATTGCTTATGTTTCAACCACAGTCTGTTAACTTCTGTTCCTCTCTCTATACCCCCTTAACGTAGTATTCTACGTGGTCGTTGTCGTCTACAGTGCCGCGTTTACCATAGGGCGCATCAGGCGTCAGTTTGCGCCCTCACGCTCTGTGGGGCCACATTTAAAAATTTTACTACTCAGAAATAACAGCAAAAACAGCCTCATTTTTAAATATTGTTTTAGTTGTTAATTTTTTTAAATTTTAATTCGAACTAGTGCTCCACGTGATCGTTGTTGTCTGCAGGACCGTGTTTACCATGAGGCGTTAGTTTGGGGCCTCACGCTCTGTGGGGCTACATTTTAAAACCTTACTCCTGACAAACAGCCTAGTTATAGTTGCAAAATGAACTCATCAAAATAACTCATTTTCAAATATTAAATTCTTAATGTAAAAGCAACTTTTAGTTATTGATTTTTTTTTATTTATATTTGAACCGATTTATGTTTATACCTTTTTTAATGCAAGTATACGTATACCAGTACTTTAAACACTGTTTAATCGATATTTTAAACAGGCAGTCAGTGTGTATAATAAAATATCCTATCCTAACCTGACCTACCCAAAAATTCAAATTTTACTGACCTGAAAACAAATTAAATCGACCGAATAAACCAAATTGTACTGACAAAATGCGATTTAATATTGACAATTAATTACTTATACCGACCAAAATACTCCTTTTTACTGACTATTTATTTAAAAAGATACCATTAATTGAGAAAGATACCGACCAAATAAACACAAGTGTTATTTTCATTTTACCAAAATGTGTTACTACGAAAATGTCGACTTTTATTTTCAATAACCTTAAAAATAAAAATGCGTATAAATCGGATTAACTAAAACAGACTTGTTCCTTGGTGGTCACGCAACGATGTTGCGGCTAGGGTCTCGAAGAGTATAAACGCGACACTGGTCGTCTACGAAGAGTAGCCGGAGTTCACTTTAATATTGAATAGAAACCTATAACCTTTAATAGTCGAGCATAAGTTGCAGACTTGAAATAGCCTTTTTCCTCCTTTCGTTATTGCGTTACACTCTACGGTTGGCCATTGAAGACAGAGGGAGAGAGAGAGAGAGAGAGAGTCTCTTCAAGCTTGGTAGCTGGTCGTTGTAATTATGTAAACGATATTCCCCCTGGCTGAAGGTGTAGGAGAGACCACCAGGCTAAACAGTTTTGTGAAATAAAAATCCTGGGTCCACGGGACGTAGGAGAGCTTTGTAGCAGGGCGAGCAAGCCGCGAAAGCGTAACCACCCTTCACGTTCCAACGGTTCGCCGCAACAAACTCGATGCAGCGAGTTTATTTACGGACACCTGCACGTTCAATTCGCGTTCAGATTTTGCCCATCCGATGCGTTTCCTACCATTACGTATATACATATACATATATATATACGTAACGCGTAACCACGTGTATCGAGGAAGGAGAGAATTGTGGTAGCATTTGTGTGTCAACTTTTTTCCCATGCTTTTCAGAATAAATAACATTAGTCCCTCCCTACACACACGCGCGCACACACAGGGGAATGGCGCGAAAGGAACAACGATAAGCGCGGGGAATACCCATAGTTTGAAAAGCGAATCGCGTGCGCCTGGTTGCAGCGGCCGCCTCGAAAATTAACCAGCCGATAAAAACTTTATTCGAACGATCGTTTTTATTATCTGGCCGTTGTGAAC